GGAATTCTGGGAGTTGAAGTCCACCCATCTTAAAGTTGCTGAGGTTGAGGAACCCTGGATTAAGGTGCTGGGCAAAGAGTGGGGAGACCCAGATTCTAGTCCTCCTTTAGGCATGAAAGCTTGGCCCAATCCCTCTCTCTTAGCCTAGAATAGGAAGTAAAAAACTACCTTTCTACCAATCTGCATTGGACTAGGCTGATAGATTACAGTCCGTACCCTTCAGTGAAAAGTCCTCCATCCTGTAGGGGATCAATTATTTTATAATAATAAAATGGAAGCAAAATCTGTCCCTGGTGTGTTTGGCTTGTAGTTGGTGTTTAGATCAATAGCTTACGAATTGCAGGCTCAGCTAGGTGGCTGATCCTAGCTAATTTTAGTTGGCCACAAAAGGCTAAGCAGTTAATACTTGGATGGGACACCATGAGGAAATCTAAGACTGAGGCTAGATTGAGAAGTTAAAAAAAAAAAAAATCCCAGGCACATAGGCAATAATGAACTACTTCTGCACGGTTGCCAAAAACCATCACAGACCATGAGATTACAAGACATCAAGCATGACTTGATGGAAACTTTAAAAAAAAAAAGATTTGGAGCACACAACTGTCACACAAGTGTAGCAGAATATCTGGAAAGGGTCTTATTGTTCCAGAATGGGATTCTGTCCTTAGCCAGCAAAACAGGAACATCCTCCTTACTGATTTACATTAGTTTTGTGGTAGTAACTCTCTCTGGTTTTACCTTGCAACCCAGTTGGAAACCGTTGCTGCCTCCGCCTGATTCTAATCACACTTTTTCCCTATCTTGCTTTTAGGTGGAGATCAGAGATCTCCCAGCTCTCCCTTCCAGTTGCAATGTTGGAACAGGAACGCAAACCACAGATCTTCATGGGTATATGGCAAAACAGTCTTCTTCAACCTCATCCCCTCTATCCCCTGAGATGATAACTCCGAAAATTCCCAGCCACGGGCAATGGATGAATTCCTAATGGGCTAAAAGGAACACAGGAAACAGAATGCCATTGGAACAGAGTAAACTATAATTCCTGGGAATCTTAGCCAGTTTGGGCTTGTTTGTTTACAGTGCTTCATCAGTAGCCATGTCTTTTTCCAGAGACGCAACAGATGGATTCCTGAGAAGCTTCTGAACAAAACTTCATACACAAAGCAACAAGAGTAGAGAAGGAAGCTGGGATGAACAGAGAAAATAAGTACACAATCAAACAAGAAGCAATGGCTGAATATATTGTAACATTACAAACTGTGTGTGTGCACAATGCAGACGTGGGAAAGACAGAGTGAAATGCACACTTAACGAGGAATTCATTTTCAGAATCATGCCTAAAATCAAAGGTGTTGTTGGGTGGGGTGGGCAGGGAAGTTAAATTAATAAATCTGGTCTGAGTCTCAGAAGAGATATCATTTCTGCATATCTGTAAGAGAAACATCTGTAGTTGCTTCACACATGTATATAACTTTCTACATTTTGCCTGAGGAGATCAGCCACAAAGATCATTGGGTGACGCTGAGCCACCATGTATTCTCTTCATCTGACATTATTGGTGTGATCAGTGGCAAAATTTTAACTCAGGAAGAAGTTATGCTCTCAGAGATGTGGCACCAACTGCAGGTTGCCAGTGAGGCCTTTTACGTACTGCAAAATGCATAGTCCTTCGAGGATTGGAACAAACATTGAGTCAAGCAAATGATAAATATGGAACAGCCAAATAATGATAAATGTGTATACAATATGCATTATACACATCTATGCATATCAATTGCATACACGTACTCTCCCTCTCTCTCTGAAAATAAATTCAATTTTATTTAAATATGATTTTCTGTTAACCTATCACAACAAGTATAAATACTGAGACTGAAACATAATAATAAAGTTTGGATCCATCCTGCACAGTAACAAAATTGCCTGGGTTTAATTGGACTTTTCCTAAATTCCAACTCCAGCTGTGAGGGTAATGTGGAACTAAGGTTACCAGATGTCCAGCAAAAGGAGGACACGCCTTCCTTTTTGTCCTCATGTCCTCCATCCAGCAGGCATAACCTTAACATCAAATGTTGTCAGCTTTATGAGTGTCTTGTTTTTTTTTTAATTTTGGACTGTTTTCACAGCTGTAGTCATTCAAATTTTCGTGTACGGTGACCTTCTAAATTGTCTGCTTCTTTCTTTCCTCAATTGACAGACTCAAAAGCTAAGATTTACTCTATTTATTTCCTGATTCCAGCAATCAGCTTCAATCCAGCCCCTTCAAATCTATGATCACTGGAGTCTGTTGATCACATGACTCGTTATACATTTCTATGGTTAAATTTGAAAAGCGTGTCATTGTTGATTCTGTATTATTGCTAGCATATGTTCTTGAAAATAAAGATTTGTTGAAAAAATATTGTGATTGAAAAAGCAGCTTTCTGATGCTGGAAAAAATAATTTCGTATACGTGTAGGCCCAAGTAGATTTTTTTTTTGTAGTTTTTTGCTGTAATTTTTGTCACAAATGCCAAGAAAGTTAAACAGCGTGTCCTCCTTTCCCCCATTTGTCCTCCTTTCCAATTGTCCGTGTCCTCTTTTGCCTGTTGAGATATCTGGTAACCCTATAACCACATTTAGTTTAGACCACCCTGAGTTCAGTGGAGGAAAGATACATTTCATTATGAAGATGAACAGCACAGTATTGAGCTAAGTGGGCCAAGAGTGATATTACAGATTTCTGAGATTTTCTGTCAGTCTCTGATATGAAGCCTGACAGAGAATTCAAGAGCAAGCTAGCTAAGACAGAAGAGCTCTAGACCAGAGGAAGAATCAAAATTCAAGGCTTCAGTTGAAGGCTGGAGCGAGCACAGAGGCTTGATGCCTGATTGGAAGGAAAAGAGGAGCATGGAATATTTCAGGATAAGAAGTAGAAGTCCTTTTGCTGAAGCCCTAGAAACTCAGCTACCTTAAGGGCCACTATTGCTCTATAAAACTATCCATGTATTATCCATCCTCAATCACTTTGCAGTGGTTTCAGCAGAGTTGAATTTAATTTAGTCTGTGCATTAGGGAAAAATGCTTCTTGCTTCGCATAGGTTGTGTGGACACAATACACTGAGGCACAAATTAGTCCACCACAAAGTAGCCTACTGTATTGCACAACCTCAATCCATGCAGTTAATCTATGGTTCACCATGTCTTGCCAACCAAGAAAATTGTGTTCATTGAATAAACCATTATTTGGTTAATGTGGGTATGTACTGGTAGTCCTCGACTTACAATGACAATTGGGACAAGAGTTTATGTCGCTAAGCGATGTGGTCCTAAAGTGCGACTGCATCGCTTAGTGATGGCAATCCCTGCAGTCCTGGTTGCCATCGTTAACCAAATCCCACGGTCGCTAGGCAAGGGAACTTCCTGCCAGCTTCCCACAGTCAAGTCAGCAGGGAAACTGGCAGGAAGTTGCAAGTCCCAGGCAGCTCACAAACTTCCCTGCCAGCTTCCCCATTAACTTTCTAGGGAAGTTGGCAGGAAGGTTGCAAATGGCAATCATGTGATCATGGGGTGTTACAACCAGTTGTAAGTGCGAGCCAGTTGCCAAGTGCCCAGATCATGATCACATGACCGTGGGGTGCTGGGATGGCCAAAACTCTGAGGAATGGTCATAACCACTATTCATTCAGCGCTGTAGTAACTTCAAATGGTCACTGAACAAATGTTTGCAAGTCAA